CTGAACTGAAGAATAAAAATGCATAAAACATGCATGTCAAAAAACTGTTAAAGTGCATGTAAAACCTCACCTTGTAAAACAACCCATTCAGTTTAAAATAGAAATGAAAGGCAAATCATGTGTATAGATATACAGGTGAAACTCGAAAAATTAGAACATCGTGCAAAAGTTCATTTATTTCAGTAATGCAACTTAAAAGGTGACACTAATATATGAGACTCATTACATGCAAAGCAAGATAGTTCAAGCCGTGATTTGTCATAATTGTGATGATTATGGCTTGCAGCTCATGAAAACCCCAAATCCACAATCTCAGAAAATTAGAATATTACATGCAGTCAATAAAACAAGGACTGTACACAGAACAATATAGGACCTCTGAAAAGTATAAGCATGCATATGTACTCAGTACTTGGTTTGGGCCCCTTTTGCGGCAATTACTGCCTCAATGCGGTGTGGCATGGAAGCTATCAGCCTGTGGCACTGCTGAGGTGTTATGGAAGACCAGGATGCTTCAATAGCAGCCTTCAGCTCTTCTGCGTTGTTCGGTCTCATGTCTCATCTTTCTCTTGGCAATGCCCCATAGATTCTCTATGGGGTTCAGGTCAGGCGAGTTTGCTGGCCAATCAAACACAGTAATCCCACGGACATTGAACCAGATTTTGGTGCTTTTGGCAGTGTGGGCAGGTGCCAAGTCCTGCTGGAAAATGAAGTCAGCATCCCCATAAAGCTTGTCTGTGGAAGGAAGCATGAAGTGCTCCAAAATCTCCTGGTAGACGGCTGCATTGACCCTGGACTTAATGAAGCACAGTGGACCAACACCAGCAGATGACATGGCTCCCCAAATCAACACAGACTGTGGAAACTTCACACTGGATTTCAAGCATCTTGCAGTGTGTGCCTCTCCATTCTTCCTCCATACTCTGGGTCCTTGGTTTCCAGATGAGATGCAAAAGTTGCTCTCATCAGAAAAGAAGACTTTGGACCACTGAGCAACAGACCAGGTCTGTTTTTCTTTAGCCCAGGTAAGACACTTCTGACGTTGTTCGTTGTTCAGGAGCGGCTTGACAAGAAGAATACGACATATGAAGCCCATGTCCAGGATCTGTCTGTGTGTGGTGGCTCTTGATGCACTGACTCCAGCCTCAGTCCACTCCTTGTGAAAGTCCCCAACACTTTTGAATGGCCTTTTCCTGACATTCCTCTCCAGGCTGTGGTCATCCCTGCTGCTTGTGCACCTTTTTCTTCCACACTTTTCCCTTCCACATAACTTTCTATTAATGTGCTTTGATACAGCACTTTGGAAACATCCAACTTCTTTTGAAATTACCTTTTGAGGCTTTCCCTCCTTATGGAGGGTGTCAATGATGGTTTTCTGCACAACTGTCAGGTCAGCAGTCTTTCCCATGATTGTGATTCCTGCTGAACCAGATTGAGAGACCATTTAAAGGCTCAGGAACCCTTTGCAGGTGTTATGGCCTAATTAGCTGATTAGAGTGGGACACTTTGAGCCGAGAATATTGCACCTTTTCACAATATTCTCATTTTCGGAGATTGTGGATTTCGGGTTTTTATGAGCTGTAAGCCATAATCATCACAATTATGACAAATCACGGCTTGAACTATCTTGCTTTGCATGTAATGAGTCTATCTAATATATTAGTTTCACCTTTTAAGTTGCATTACTGAAATAAATGAACTTTTGCACGATATTCAAATTTTTTGAGTTTCTCCTGTATATATAAAAAAAACATTATAAACACCTTTTTTCCCTTTTTTATAAGTGATCACATACCTTCCAGTTCTGGAGACCTCACTTCCAAAAAGATATTGATAAAATATATCAAGAGTGACTTCAGGAACGTAACATGTACAGTTTGGAGGAAAGAAGGGAAAGGGGAGATATCACTGAAACCTTTAAATACATTCAGGGGGTGAATAAGGTTCAGGAGGGCAGTATTTTCAGCAGGAAACCAAAATCAAGAACACGGTGACATGACCTTAAACTAACTGGAGGAAAGTTCAAAACCAATCTCAGAAAGTATTATTTTACTGAAAGAGTTGTTGATGCTTGGAATAAACATCCAGCAGCAGTAGTGAGCCAGTCAACAGTAAGCAGCTTCAAACATGTGTGAGACAAGCATAGATCTATACTCAGACAAAAAAAGTTAACTTAATGAAAAAAAAAAAGCACACAAAACAAAAAACAAAAAAAAAGGGTCGGATTCAATGGACCACTTGATCTTTTTTTGCTGTCACTTTCCTATATTTTTCTGTTCTCCGCTGCATAAGGAGCTCAGGGAAGAGAAACAGCAGCACACTGATCTTCCCAGTGAATGGCTGTGCAGGGGGGTGGTGTCTGCAGAAGTCTGATCATTGGAGGAAAGCAGGCTGAGTTCCCAACACAGGCAGAAATCTGACCATGCTGTGCTCTCCTTCCTAGTGTAGTCAGTTTTTAATAGGAAAGCAGAGGGACTGGCAGGAACACCAGGGATTTCACACAAAGGAAGCAATAAAAAGAGAACAGGATACTTTTTCATACAAGTACATGGTACATCAGGCACATATCTGAAATATGAAATGTTGGATTTATAGTACATATTCTTTATCCATAAAACATCTACAGCAAGCACAGCAGGACAGTGACAGAACAGAGTTTAGAGAGGGGACAATATAAAAGTTTATAAAAAATGTGTTCCTAAAGATACTGTTTGGTTTAGTGGCTGGAAAAGTTGTGAAACCAACATTTACTGCAGGTGAACATGCATGCTTCCCTCTATGGAAAGGGGAGTCCTCCCTAGATACGAACATTCCCTAATCTCACTGTAAATGGCATGACCTGGTGAATGTTTTCTCATACTGTATGCAGGGCCGGTGCTAGACTATTTTGTTCTCTAGGCAAGATCAGCTACTTGTGCCCCCCCTCCTCCCCCCAAAACAAACAAACAAACAACTAGAAAATATAAAATCAACAAAGCATGAAACTGCTACTTTTTTTTAATTTGCAAAAATAAGTGCCATACAATGCCACCAGCACCAATATTAAAGACAAAATCAGTGTTACGGTCGGACTGTATCTGTGGCTGGAGGTGGCAGGGTGACAGTTGCAGTGAGTGGAGGATGATGGATTCACACTCTGACAGATCCCAGGCTGGAATTCCTCAGGCAATGGGGAGAGATAAAATGCTATGAACGAGCACGCACGCACGCACGCACGCACGCACGCACGCACACACACACACACACACACACACACACACCACTAGAAGAGCAGGCTGTGGGATTGTGATGATGTCATCACTCACTGAAACATTGCCCATCTGATGCATGGCCGGCCAAGTCACACTCCCACAGACACAAGACATTGGAGTCAGACATTACATTCCTCCACAGATGCAGCTCTGCCTCCACTGGTGAGTGGGAAGACAAGGGCTGGTACCCCACAGTGATCAGCAGCTACTAGCCAGCTTGCAATAGGGGACTGAGTCTGAGAGGAACACCGGAACACTCAGCTACTATACTGGCCCCAGACACCCCGCATCTTCTTCTGTCCTCTTTACTCCCCTCCTCTCTGCTGCCCCTCCTCTCAGCTGTGCCCAGGTGCCCATAGGTGGCAGTGTGCCCTAGGCGGCTGCCTAGTGGAAGCACCAGCCCTGACTGTATGCACCTCTGTTCTAAAATAGGTCTATATAATCACTAAACAGCGTAAATACAGCCCACTCTTCTCCAATCGCAGAGGACGCCATTTTTGGAGAAATGTACGTCAGGCGGAGCTTTCTGTTATGTCACCTTGTTCCGGCTGGTGTTCTGATACCGTGGGAATTTTAAATGTTTACACTGCCTTTATGCACCTTATCTATGTAAGTGCAATACTTTTAATTATTAAATTCTTTGCTGGTTTGTCGGGTTGCACTATGAAGTTTTCTTCTTCTGTTTTAAACCTTTCCTTGCATGATGTGGGGAGCTGCGTAATGGATTAATTCAAGTGAACCTGCAGTTGTCCATTCATCTCCTACATATGGCTAACTAGGGTGTCAGTGTGGGATCTGAACACCATCTGCTCATTTGATCTCTTGATTGGAGATTAAAGTGTCTAGTAAGAGGCTGATTTTTTTGTGTCAAGCATTTGTGGACACCTATGCACTTTCCGTTGGAGGATTTCTTTAGCACACAGCACTGTGTTATTGGATTTTGGGACTTTTTATTATTTAATATATTAATGTGGACTTGCATCATTTCAATGAATTGATGCAAATTTTTTATGTAGCAGCATTTATTTGATTGATTATTGTTTATGATTTTTTAGTGTAGAGAGCACTCATTTTTTCTATGTTTTTGTATCTTCTGGTGTTCAGGAAAAGAGTAGCTGAAGTTCACTAATTGCTTCACTGTTGTTTCAGAATCTATTTTTTTCACACATTTATTCACATATTGTATAGTTTGGGGCGTAGCGCAGGTTTTTTTTTTTTTCCCTTTTCTCTAAATACAACCCATGCCTCTTGTTTTATAGTACTGAAATGCCATACATGCTGCTCTTCAAATCGAGTATCAGTCAAGCATTTGAAACTGCTCATGCATTAGATTTCGATTGAAAATAAATGTGTGTGGGCAGTTGAGGATTAAGTTTGACTGTTTAAATAATAACTCTAGATCTTTTATCAAACGTTATGAAAACTTAGATGTCTCCTGGTATGCTATTACTGTACACAGACCATAAATGACATGTGGTTTTGAAGGGAGAGAGTACATAAATACGTATTCTTCAACATAGGATTATCTTACATTCCAGTAAAAGGTGTACCTGATGGAAAAGAACACCACACCCTTCAACTTGACCCACTCCAGTAAGTGCATAACACTGCTATATAAAGGATCGCTGATAGCTGATGGTTGAGCTCTGCTGTGTATCAAATCCTCTTCCTGAGATATTACAGCCTGGTGTTCCTGTTACTACTCCCCCCAGCTCTCCATTCTCTACTGTACTCAAAAAGTCATAGGGGCAGGGGCGGACTGACCATTTGGAAACTCGGCACTGCCCGAGGGCCCGGGGTCAGTAGGGGGCCCCATGAGATGCCCCTGGTACCTTTTTCATAGGCTTTTTTGAGTTTGGGCAAGGACACAGGGGCCCCATGATCCCCTATTGCCCGGGGGCCCCATGAGTTGTCAGTCCGCCCCTGCCTGCTACTGACCAGTTTTTCACTGCTGTATCATTTATGGTCTTCCTAATGAGAACTTGGCCAGTGACAGCACAGTTGTGCATCAGCAAGAACAGCAGAAACCACAGCAAACTACTGGACAAATGCTTTCTGCCAGTCAAAAGAGGCCAATTGCTGCTTGTTGAAAAAGCATGGGTCAAGTTACTAGAAAAAAAAAAAAATTCCACAAAACTGGAATAAACAAGATTAGCACGCTGCTGTATGTATGTTAAGGTAATTTTTAAAAGAAAAAAAATAATTTCCACAGCCAAATATGCACTGCCAGTATTTGCAGTCACTGAAGCTGTCTGTGAAAATTGCATTGTTCCACAACACCACAACTTTAGGGCATCTCCCAGGCATGTTATTTAAAAGATTTGTGTATTTTCAATGTTGCCCTAGAAACCATATGCAAAGATCCTCTCCCTACTGTGTTGTATATTTTATAAAAAAAATTTTTGGCAGTGTTGCATGTCTCTAATGGCAGTGCCCAGCTTCCCGTGCCTTTTTTGAACAGTTGTTCAGCGATTAGTCCTAAGCCCTGGCCAGAATTTAACAAGATTATATTTCCTATAGACATAATTAAGATTCACCTCAAATTTTGTAAAGGCTCAAGGTTTTTGTACCTTCAAGCATTCTATGCATTAAATAAAAAAAATCTTCTATATGCAACAGCCCCCCAATCCCCTCTCATACTTTCCTGAGCCCCATCGCAATCCGGCAATGTGCACAAGCTTTGGCTCTGCAAGGACTCTCTCTCCTCATTGGCTGAGGCAGTGGTGGGAGCCATATGTGATTTTGAGCACCCATTTCTGCTATAGGGCGGCGCAGAAGCTGTTATCTGCCGCCTGCCTGCCATATAAGGAAATGATGGGCGGGCAGTGGCTCTCTTGTTCTGGGAGGACATCATATGATGTCCTCCCACTCTAAACGCGCATGTGCACCCCGGCAATTGGTGGTGCACTGTGTCCCTGGGACACAGCGGATCACTGATCACAGTAAACAGCCAATGATGCAGGCTCTGTCATGAGATCAGCTGTGTCCAATCAAAGCTGATCACATGTACACAAGGAAATGCCAGTTATCAGTAGTCCTCTCCTCACGCTGACAGCACGCGAGGAGAGGAGAGCCGGTAAGCAGCATTCCTCAGAGGGGACATCTACACTGATCATCAGGGCACTGATGATCTGTGCCCTGATGATCAGTGTAGCCCCATCAGTGCCACCTGTCAGTGTTCATCAATGCCACATACCAGTGCACATCAGTGCATATCAATGCCGCATATCAGTGCCTACCAGTGCACATAAATGCCAGATATCAGTGCCCATCAGAGCTGCCTTTCAGTGCCAGTTAGTACTGCCTATCAGTGCCCTGCAGTGCCTCCTACCAGTGCCCTGCAGTGCCACCTAACAGTTCCAATCAGTGCCACCTATCAGTGCCATATATGAGTGCCGCCTTTCAGTGCCCATCAGTGATGCCTGTCAATGCTCACCACTGATGCCTGGCAATGCCCTTGTACACTGATCATCAGGGCACTGATGATCAATGTAGCCCAATCAATGCCACCTGTCAGTGCCCATCAATGCCACATACCAGTGCCCATCAGTGCACACCAATGCCACATATCAGTGCCTACCAGTGCACCTCAATGCCACATATCAGTGCCCATCAGAGCTGACATTCAGTGCCACCTATCAGTGTCAGTCAGTGCCACCTATCAATGCGCATCAGTGCCGCCTATCAGTGCCAGTCAGTGCCACCTATCAGTGCCAGTCAGTGCCGCCTATCAGTGCCAGTCAGTGCCGCCTATCAGTGCCGCCTATCAGTGCCATATATCAGTGTCATGTATCAGTGCTGCCTTTCAGTGCCCATCAGTGATGCCTGTCAATGCCCATTAGTGCAACCTACCAGTCCTGTGATTCCTTGCTGAGCTGCCTGGAAGCAAAGGATTGCCTGGAGGAGAGCTATAGCCTTGTGGCCCTCTGTGGGTCGAGGTGGGGAGGTGAGCAGGCATTGCTGCCATTGGAGGATTCCTTTTTTTTGAGCACTAGAAGTGAAGATCACAGAGTGTTGTTTTCACCTTATTGCATGGACTTTTTTTGTTCATTTATGGACACATTTTTATATTTAATTATCACAAGATATAGTGGATTTAATATTTAATAGTTCGATGTATGGTTTGTCACAATTAATTATTAATCACGTAAATTTGATTGAGAATCACAGTTTATGAATTTCTATTTTATAGGTTGTCACATGTATTATAGATAGTATTATCTTATTTTTTGAATATTATAATCACAGATTTCGATTTTGCATCACTGTTTTATTTGTATTATTACGGATTTTTATTTCGTATCACTGATTGATTTGAAGAATAATTAAGGGCATAGGAGTTTTTATATTTTATTTATTTTTATTTATTTATTTTTTATCATGGATTTATTTATCTTTATGAGGTATTTTTTTGTTTGATATATCTTTTTGTATGTATAGATATCCCACAGATGGTTATATATTTTCATTGGAGTATACGGAACTTAGATTTTTTTTGGATAATATTATATTCATTGTGTGTGCATATAGGGATTTATTTTAGCGCTTCACTATTTTGGTGTTTGGTACTCTATTACTTATTGGTTAAGGCAGAGTGATAGCAGCTGTTAGGATAGGGACTCATCCATATTAAGCGCAGGAGGATATTCCCATTTTTTGCCACCTATCAGTGCCATGCAGTGCCGCCTACCAGTGCCCTTCAGTGCCACCTGACAGTTCCAATCAGTGCTGCCTATCAGTGCCAGTCAGTGCTGCCTATCAGCGCCATATATGATTGTTGCCTTTCAGTGCCCATCGGTGATGCCTGTCAATGCTCACCAGTGATGCCTATCAATGCCCATCAGTGCCGCCTGTCAGTGCCTCCTGATCAGTGCCCCCTATCAGTGCTCATCACTGCAGCCTCATTAGTGCACATCAGTGAAGGATAAAAATTACTTATTTACAAAATTAAAAAAAAAAAAAAAAAATGTCCAAAATTTTCAGGCTTTTTTAGGTTATTTAGCAAAAGATAAAAAACCCAGTGGTGATTAAATACCACCAAAAGAAAGCTCTAACTGGCTCAAAAAAAAATTGTACAATTTTGTTTGGAAGCAGTGTTGCATGACCGCGCATAGTGTACATAGTGTAACCTGTTCAAATGTGATTAACATATTTAAAAATTTCAGAGTGCATCTGCAAGTCATAGAAAATAATATAGGCTATAATATATAGGTTATAACAGTAAAGATCAATAAGCATAACATACTACAAGCCAGAGTTGTAGCAGCAATAACCGTATTGTAAACTACGTAAAAATAGGTAGTAAAGGAGGGATTGAAGGGGTAAAGGGGGGGGGGCAAAACTTATATTAACCGTGAACTAAGCGACACTCATGAATTAAATAGAGTCGGGCCCGACACAGAAGGACATATGATATCCAGGGCCACCCAGAATCAGGGGCCAAGAGAAAAACAAGGAAGAGAGCAAGAGAAAACAGTATCAGGGAGCCTAGCAGGGAACCCAGGGCCATCAATGCCTATAGCAGTGTGAAGGTTTAGGGGGACATGGAAGGATGAGCGTATTGTGTCCATGGGGCCCAGGTTTTTAGGAAGAAAGAAGAACGCTAGTTAGCTTTTTGCTGATAAAAAAAAATGTCTAGATGACGATGGACTTCCCCGAAGGAAACAAACTGTTGTTTCCAAGCTTTTTTGATAGTTTCTTTCGCTGCTAGTTGAACATACAGTATGTAGTCAGTTTAAATTGGGATCTCATGAGGTCTGGGGTTTTCAGATGCAATAGGATGTATCAAGGAGCAGGACATTTTTAATAACGGAAAATAGGCTGAAATGTACTAGAGAAAGAAAGCACAGACAGGTGTTTTGCTAAAAGAATCAGAAGACCACAGATGACACAACACTGCAATATAGGCCAGCATGTAGGACAATGTTAAATAGCAAGGTTAGGCCCAAACTGATCAGAGAGCACAGGCAGAAGCTTTACTACATGGATTAGGAAAAGGATACAGCAGTGTAAATTTGGCCACTAGTAGTACAGTTTTAAACAGGCATAATATGGCAAAATGTACTAGAAATAATCCGTGCAGGCAGGCAGACAGTATACAACTGTCCAGCAACAGGATAATTTTAATAAAGAAATGGTGCTGGAGCAGTTAAGTCTGAAATAAAGATCTTATTACCATAAAAATCTCAAAATAAATGAAAGCCCCAATATACCACCCCCTGAAATGAAAGCTTTTTTTTAAGGGAAGCCTTGAAGAAGAAAAAATTGATTATGGATGGTCTAACATTTAAACGTGACTACTGAACATTAAACAACCACAAAGTAAACAAAGGACAAAAAACTTTGATTGTCCAAAGATTTAGCAATCAGAATTAAAAGTACACTTAGCTAAATGGTCCCAATATCTCTCTATACAGTTTGCCAGCTTTCCCAACAACAACTTTCAATTCAATGACTGACTGTTCTGTGCCCTCCTTATATCCTATAGTGAGGGGACTAGCTTGACCCAGAGATCCTTATTGGCCCTTCTAGGTTCCTTGGCCATAGGTCCAAGGACATGCAGTGCATTATGGTTTAAAAAATGTCCACTGACTGAATCACCAAAGTCACTTGAACGCTGAATCTGATTGCCTTAGACTCATGAATCTGAATCTCATCCCTGTTGAAGAACATAAACCCTTTGAAGCTCATTCGTTGATGAGTAGTTTTCCCATTAAAACCCAGAAACTAATGAAAGGGCACTTATCTGCATTTATCTTCAGAGACAGCATGGGGTTTATTTATAAAGCTGGAGAGTCCAAAATCAGACTCCCTTCTGCATAGAAACCAATCAGCTTCTAACCTCAACTTGTTCAATGAAGCTTTGGCAATGAAACCTGGAAGCTGATTGGTTTCTATGCAGAAGGGAGTCTGATTTTGGACTCTCCAGCTTTAGTAAATAAACCCCCTTGTGTCTGTAGATTCTGCCCATCACCCTTCGCTGCACCTGCATTTAGAAAGACAGAGGCAGCAGAAGCAATT